GTGGCTCTCAGCAGCTTCCAGGTGAGGCCAACCTGTTGCTAGGTCCAGCTGGCCTGGACCATGTGGCTGCATGGGGGGCTCTACTGGAAGTCAGTGGTGCAGGGCCTGCGTCCATGAGCCCATTTCATCCTAGCTGGCCTTGCTGGACATCTGGCTTCCTCAGTGCCCCCCTACACCTCCCCATGCAGACACCAGACACAGCCATCTGGCCTGACCAGCCTCCCCAGACCACCCTCTCGGTCTTAACAGGAAGACCACCCAAGTCCCAGGGGCCAGCCATGCATGGAAGCCCCAAATCCGTACACAACTAGAAATCTTCCTGTAGTTGGCCTTCTGTGGTGTGGGTGACATACTCCAGGGCAGAAGAAGGTTTCCTCATCCTCCACACAGAAGGCAGCACCGGCAGACCGCTGAATTGCTGAGCATGTCAGCACCCAGGCTGTTGTCATGGGTTGAAGAATGAAATGACAAGAAACAAAATGAACCCAGTCCCCCAGGGCAGTGCAGCATCTGTGGGCCAGCAGCCAACCACTCTGCCTCTGGAGCCTCAGTTTCCTCCTCTGCGTAGTGGGCTAGCAGCAGGAGCCTACCAAGGTTAACAGGATCCCAGAGCTGGGATTGGTAAAGCTGCTCTTTGACCCCAGTGCTCCTGTCCAAGCTGGACACTGGAATGCCCCTTCCACTTTCCAGTCTAGACAAACTGGCTAATGTCCTGGCTACCTGCATGTCTTCCCATTTTAAGGACCCCCAGGTGGGCCCATGGTACCCACTGCTGCCCCTCTCACCCCTAGAACCACGTCAACCTGGTGCACCGGAAAGGAAAGACCAAAGTGTGCCCTCACCCTGGCTGTGGCAAGAAGTTTTATTTGTCCAACCACCTGCGGCGCCACATGATCATCCACTCAGGTCAGGCCCTGGCCCCTGCAGGCCAGCTGTAATGCACATGTGTAAATCCCACGCTCAGGAGGCCTGGGCTGCACCATGAAACCCCACATCCTTATACCCGGTACTGGTTTTCATGTGCAGTTGCCCCAAGTCCCAACACGGGTCACATTTAAGGTCAGCTTAGCTTAGCAGTTGGCACCTTGTGTCAGGAACCGCAGCCCTCTTACCTGCCATGATTCCAGCGGACAACAGTTCGCAGGGTTGTGGGGTGGGGGGAGCTCGCTCCTTGTAGCCACCTCTGCTGGGCGGTGTCCTGAGGCTGCTGCCACCCCCAGGTGTCCGAGAGTTCACTTGTGAGACCTGCGGCAAGTCTTTCAAGAGGAAGAACCATCTGGAGGTACACCGGCGCACGCACACTGGAGAGACGCCCCTGCAGTGAGTGTCGGGGTGCTCGGGAGGGAGGGGACCTGAGCGGCTTGCAGGGGAGTCTCAGCTGGTGGTGACCTGCCCCTGGGCCGTCCTCCCGCCACACAGGTGTGAAATTTGCGGGTACCAGTGCCGGCAGCGGGCATCGCTCAACTGGCACATGAAGAAGCACACAGCGGAGGTGCAGTACAACTTCACGTGTGAGCGCTGCGGGAAGCGCTTCGAGAAGCTGGACAGCGTCAAGTTCCACACACTCAAAAGCCACCCGGACCACAAGCCCACCTGACCTGCCCGCGCCCACGGACCTCAGTCTCTATTTATTTGTACTCTTGGACATCATGCCCAGGCCTGTCAGAGCCCAAGACAGCCACTGGGCTGCCCCAACCGCAGGCCGGAAGGAGGCGTTGCCCACTCGCCCTGGGCAGGTGCCCCACCCTTGCCCCATCACATCCCACCCATGGAGCTGGCACCTGGGACTGCACTGCTGAACTGTGTCAAGAGCACAGAGTGAGATTAAAGTGAAAAAGGAGATGTCCTTCCCTAGGCCTGAATAATTGTGGGGGCTGGGCACCCCTTTATGACCAGTTAACCTGTTCCCATCCTGACCAAGGCTGGATTGGTGGTGGCTGCCCTTGGACAGCACACAGGGATCTTTCCTGTTAGCCTCTGCTCCCGCAGGGTGGGTGTGGGGAACCAGAATCCTGATGCCCACACCTCCCATATCTCAGAATATTGATTGCTGGCCCAGAGGACTGTGGGAGGAACTAAGCAGTTGAACACACACTTGGGAACACCCAAATGAGACGTCTACACTGGAGACAAGCAGTGGGCAGAGAAGGGAGTGAGGGTTGGGTTATGGGGGTAGGGAGCTTCCCTGAAGAGGTGGCTTTTGCCACCTTGTGCCAGAGTGACAAAGAGAATCGATTCCTGTATGGGAGGATGGCTAGGTGTGTTCCTGGAACAGGACCTGGCCCCATTGAGTGCAGGGAGATCCTGGGGAAGAAGGCGCCACCACCAGGTGGTGCGCGAGCCGTGTGGACCCGGGGTGGTTGCCACCACGTGACCCAAGGGAGCATCGCGCGAGCTCTAGCACGTGCCCCCGGGAGCCCTGCAGCACCACGAGCAGATTGGTCCCGATGGGGTGGCAACAAGACTCAATTTCCGCTTGGGACTCGGGGCTACATCAGCGTGGTGTAGAATTGCGGGGCTGGCCTAAGCGCTCCAAGAGCCCCTTCTCTTTACTCGAGCAATAGCAGCCAGCAGTTTCCATGGGAACCGCGGTGGGGCCTTTGCCCCAGGAAGTAGCTTGGCAGCAGACACTGACTCCCAGCCGAAGGGAACGCGGGGGCAGGGCGGGCGGTTGTGGGCCATCGTTTGGGTTGGGGGCCCTGCGTCGGAGGCCGAGTTGCTCCACAAACCCCAGAGGAGCCACTTGGGAACCTGCTCTGCCACCGCCCCTTCTGTGTGGGCCACTCTGATTGGCCCGCCCTCTCCAGCACGGCAGCACCTTCGGCGTGTGCTCTCTCATTGGCTCAATCTCCAGGGCATCTTGCAATTGGGTCTCTCGAGAGCCATTCCTGATTGGTTAAATCAGGCTGATTCGCACTCTTCACAAGCCGGATCGTGAAGGGGTGTACAAGAATAAGATCAGGGCCTTAGAGATGGCTCATGGGTAAAGGCGTCTGCCTCTCAAGACTGGCGACCTGAGTTCGATTCCTGGGACCCACATGGTGGTAGACGAGACCTGAATCCTGAAAGTTGTTCTCTGACCTACACACACACACACACACACACACACACACACACACACACACACACACACACACACACACACACACACACACACTGTTAAATTTGTTTAAAAAACAAAAAGGATGAGGTTAGGCTGGGGACAGCGACTCCCGGGTTGGAGGATCTGGGCTGCCGCCAGCGGTGTTTTCCCACCTTGTCAGACCGCTGTCTGTAGTGCTGAAGCCTTGCTCGAGCCCCAACCCTGCCCCAGGAAATGCAGTAAACATAAAGGAGGCGTAGCCCTCCAGTACCCTAAAAAGGGGCGTGCTTCCACAAGACCAGTCACACTCCCAGAAAGCCAGAGTCAGCCATAGGCCTGCCAAGCCTTGCTGGTCCAAGTTTGAAGACCTTATCTAGGGTCTCTCAGGCTGCATGACTCTGATAGGGATCGTGTAGAACCCTTAGCACAAACCTCTTCCCCTGCTTCGGAGCAGCGAGGCGTATCCCTGCCAAGGAGGGTGCCAGTGCCCACGTTCTGGACCCTAGAGCTTGGTGCGCTCAAAACCCACAAGGTCTAGTTTCCTTCCACAGTCGATAGAGTTAAGACCACCCTAACTGCTAGATCACTTCTACTTTACCTTCTTTCCTTCCTTTTTCCTGTTGCTGTTCTTATTCGGTTGTTGTCGTTCGTTTTTAAGGAAAATCTCTGTAGCTCAGGCTGGCCTGGAATTCACTATGTAGCTGATGATGACCTTGAACTTATGATCCTTTGCCTCAGCATCTCAAGTGTTGGGATTACAGGCTTTCAGCATCATGCCAAGTTTATGTGGTGCGAGGGATGGACCCCAGGCTTCATGCATACTAATAACTGAACCATATCCCCAGCCCATTTTTAATAATATTATTAAATAAATTAATATTATTTAATAATAATTATTACTATTAGTGTGTGTATGTATGTGTGTGCATACCACGGGCGTGTGTGTGTGTGTGTGTGTGTGTGTGTGTGTGTGTGTGTGTGTATAGGTCAGAGGACAACTTTGTGGAGCTGGATCTCTCCTTCCACCTTTAAATGAGGTCTAGGGATGAAACAGGTTGCCATCCAGCATAGTGGCAATGATTTTAATCCCAGCACTTGGGAGAAGCAGATGGATCTCTGAGTTCGAGGCCACCCTGAGTTCCAGTAAGTTCCAGGACAGCCCGGAATAAACAGAGAAACCTTATCTCGAAAAACAAAAAACCCTCAGATTTCCAGGCGAAAGTCTTTTCCTGCTGAGCTATCTGTCCTTTCGTTTTGGTTTATTTTGTTTTGTTTTATTGAGAAAGGGTCTCATGTGCCCCAGGCTGGCCTTGTACTCCTGATCCCCCTGACTGTCCAACCGCCCAAATCTGGTCTTACAAGCATGTGCCATTGTGCCCACTTTATTTTTTTTTCTTTCTGTTTTCTTGTCTTTTTCCTTCACTTTTTAAAAAGACAAGATCTTCCTAAGAGGTACACAACAGCCTGGAGCTTGCTATGTGACCCAGATCAGCTTAGAGTCTTGCGTAGCCCATGCTATCCTCAAACTACCAAGGATCCTCCTGGCTCACCACCCAGTATTATTTCTAATATCAGCAGAGGTCATGTGGACGAAACCTATTCACCTCGGACCTAGCAGCACGGGTCTGGGTCTTTGTCCCTTAACAACCTTCTGATTGTGTTTGGGCCACGGAAAGCTGTCTTCACCCCTTCAGAGTTAGGTCCTGGACCGAAGAGGGAACCAGAACAGTGTCAAGACAGGACTCAGGGTCTACAGGCACCAGGGAGCCAAAATCCGAGGCCTCAGCATATTCATTCTCGGCATTCAGAGTCCGCCGGCACGCACTCGCTTCCACCTGCCGCGCCGTCGGGAGCCGGGAGGAGGCGGGGACCCGCCGACCCAGCCAATGAGCGACGCCGGCGCTGGCAGCTGCCGCTATAAAGGGCTGGGGGCGGCGGCGGTGCGACCCAGAGCGCGGAGCGCGCAGCGCGGGCCGGAGGGAGGGAGGGAGGGCGGGCGAGAGGCAAGGACCCGACACTCGGCACCCGGCACCGGACAGGCCGGACCGAGGGCCCACCGCAGAAGGCAGACCTGCCGAGATCCTAGTGGGGAAGGGCGACCTCTCCGGGCCCCGCGGGGCCGCGCACTGGGCGTCCTCCACCGCGCGCCCGCTCCCTCCATCCACCTGCCGCCGGGGACCCGGCCGTCGGCGCGCGCATCCCCAGGCTCGGGTCCGTTCCCGGCCCTCGAGGGCGCCGCCACCTCCATCTCCGCCTCTGCAGCGTCCGCAGCCGCAGACGCCCGGGCGGGACCCCGGCGTGAGCACCGGGCGCCCCCCCAGGAGTGCACGACCCCCGGAGCCGCCCTCGATACGGACCGCGCCCACCGGGCACACAAGAATGGTCACTGTAGGTACTCCCTTGTCGCTGCGAGACGAACACGGGAGGGAGGGGCTGAGTCTGGCTCCACGGAGACGCGGTGGGGGGGGTAGGACCAGGCCTAGCTAGGCCCGGGTGGGGGGGTAGGACCGCGCCTCGGGCCTGAGAGTGGGTACAGCCGCATCCGGAGTTCTGGGGAGCAGAGCCTGGTCTGAGAGGATTGGCCGGCCGGGCTGTGTGCGGGGTGCCCTCGGCTACCCCGGGGTCTGGATGGCCCCTCTCTGGAAGGCTGTGGGGGAGGGGCCGCGGCGGCGGAGGATGTTTCCAGCATCCCAGGCCCAGACCCGCAGGCCGCCCAGGAGGACGCGGGCCGCGATGGCCTTCTGTGGGTCCGGGCAGAGGCCACAGGGCATTCTCCGAGAGCTTTTGGTGGGGGATGGAGAGGCGGGGTGGCATCGGATCGCGCTACCCCGGGCCCCGGCCGCGCCCGAGAGGCGAACATCTTCGTCCTCGAGCCCCGTCGACCTTGCGGCAAGCGGGGAGGGGAGAGGAGGGGGCGCCCCGAGGCCTCGCTGCCACCACCGTGGTCCCTTTGTCTCTCCGCCCTTCTTCGCGGGCCGTGGCCTCGCGCGGGGCCTTGGGGCTGGGGGGGGGGCGGGAGAGGGGGGGTTCTCGTTCCCCAGCCGTTGCCTCCAGGTGAGGGGGTGAGGGGCTGCAGCAGCATCCCATCGGGCCTTCTGCACGCGCCCTCCCCGGGCCAGGGCTCCGGGCCTCGGGGTGACCTTGAACGCGCCTGCCACTCTCGCCGCTCGGCCGGCGCGCGTTCGCTTTCAGCAGCCTCGGAGCTGGTCAGCTCCCGAACTCACGGCCCCGCCCGGTGTGCCACGCCCTGCCGTGCCACGCCCATCCAGGCCCCGCCCCGAGGCCCCCAGGACCTGGCCTGGAGCGAGCCCTCGGACCTCCACCCGGCAACCCGGGCGTGTCCCGGGGCGGGGCTGGCCAGTGCTCACCGCACCCTGGCTCCACCCCCGCCTCCCTGAGCGACTCGCTCCCCGCGCCGCCGCGCGTCCTTTGTCTGGTCCCCGCGCCCAGCCTACCTTTTCTGCTCTTCCGAGATCTCTCCCTGTGTGTCTCTGCACACCAAGTGTTGTTCCCGGCCTCTTTTTCGAGCCGTAGCTAGTACAGTGGGGGACGGGAAGCTCAGTAGTCTATTCTGGGCCTCCTCTCTCTTGGGCCCGGGACCAGCCCACCTGGCTCTAAGAAAGGACCATCTCCTCCCCGACGCCTTCCCAAGACCGGCTCATCGTGCTGTGTGACCTCAGGCTGGTTCCTTACCATCTCTGGGCCTCAAGGTGCTCATTCAGGTCTGAGAGCCGGAGTGTGGCCTCCTGGGGACTCCCAGAACCCCCATAACAATATAGCACCCCCTAGACTCCCCCTCCTCTGTTGTTCTGCTTGAAAAGAATGCGCAAAAGAGAAGAGGGTGTGGTCAGAGGTTACAGCAGGGCCGGGAGCCCCGGGGGCCCTGGAATTCCCATGGGTGGTGGTGGGGGACACGCAAGAAGGAGGAAGTGAGGGGGATGGAGACAGTGAGGGCCCCTAGCAGAAGTAGAGGGAAAGGGTTCAGGAATTGGAGGCTCAGTCTGCACCACGTGGTGGCCCCGACTTGCCTGCATAGACAGCCAGCCACTCAGGGGCTATTGTCACCGGTCTCCAGGCATCTGTCACTGTGACTGGGGCCCCGAGGCCCAGCTGGAGGCCAAGGGGGTCTTTGGAGCAAGTGGCTTTAGGTGTGTTCTTGACAAATCCTCCCGCAGCTGTGTGTGATGGGGGTGAGGGGGAAGAAGCCAAGAGTGAGAAACAGACCCGCAGGAGGAGCCAGGGAGGGAGAGAAGTCCCGCTCAGCCAGTCCTGGGCCGGTCCTCAAGGTCCTTCGATGGCTGCTGGCTGCGGTGCCGCCAGCCCAGGCTACAGAGTGACCATGGCACAGGCCGGGTGTGGCTTCTGCCAATCCGATCCCCATTATCGGCTTAGGCAGCTCAGCAGGTTCAGCTGTGAAAGGGACTCCAGGCCCTGCCCAGCTAAGCTGAAGCAGAGAGCGGGGAGAAGTGCTAGATGAGCAGGCTGGCAGCAAACCCCCAGAACCAGCTCACCCTGGTACCCCCGACGTGATGGGAGGGCAGCTGGTAGGGAACTCCGCAGACTCCGGGTCATTAAATCAGGGGTCAGTTGCTGACGGAAGCTGGGCATGGAGCTGGCACTGGCTCAGCCGGTGATTGCCGTCGTTTGTGCCAACCTGAGTCCGTCCCTAGGACAGCAACGCCTCAGAGTTGGCCTCTGACCCCCACACAGGTGCAGTGGCACACAGGAGCACACACATACACACACACACATAAGCACACACACACAGGCCTGTCTAAGATGGACTCCATAGCAAACGCTAAACCATTACCTCTGGCCTTGGTTTCTCCATCTCAGAAATGGAGCAAATGGTTTCCACGTTTCTGAACAGTGCTGGAAGTCTACAACCATGTAGCCGGGCGGTGGTGGCACAGGCCTTTTAATCCCAACACTCGGGACGCCAAGGCATGTGGATCTCCGTGAGTTCGAGGCCAGCCTGGTGTATGTAGTGAGGTCCAGGACAATGGGGCTACATAATGAGACCCTGTCTCAAAACAAACAAAAATCCAGACTCCACGTGCTCAGTGCCTGATGCACAGGGGCTCCAAACACCGGGACATGAGTGCCTAGTGTGTGCGATGTCTTATGTTCCAGAGTAATATCTGGAGCGTAGTAAACAGTCGGCGCTGGGCATTGCTTTGCTCCTGTGGATGTTTGGTTGTCTTTTCATTCAGTTTTGTTTCTAAGACAGGTTTGATTCTTCATCAAGTTCCGAGGTCCGGGAATTACAGCCGTGGGCTGGCATGCCAGTCTTGGTTTGCTAGTTTTGTTTTGTGGTGTTTGTTTGTTTTTGTAGTGCTGGGGCTGGAACCCAGGGCCTTGTACATGCTAAGTGAGGGCTTTGTCATAGAGTTATGCCGCTGTGGCTGTTGTTATTATTATTGGCCTTTCATTCTTTGATCCTAGATGTGAATTTTTAATTACACTTTTAAATTTGTTTACTTACGAGTGTGGAGGTCAGAGGACCACTTGCAGGATTTGGCTCTGTCCTTCCACCACGTGGATTCCAAACTCAGGCGTGGTTGCATTCATCTTCATCTGCTGAGCTCTAGATTTGTTTCTCATGAAGAAGCGGGGGGGATAGGGCTTGGTGGCAGAGTGCCTGTCTAGTGTGAATGAGGCCTGAGTTCAGTTCCAGTACTAAAAAGGCAAAATGAACAGGATGGCAAGCTCTCAAAACACAGGCTGTGATATCAATATAGTGTTAATATTAGGGAACCTGAATCGGGCGTGGTGGCGCACGCCTTTAATCCTGGAACTCGGGAGGCAGAGGCAGGCTCATCTCTGAGCCCAAGGCCAGAAAGAAAGAAAAGGAAGGGAGGGAGGGAGGGAGGGAAAGAGAAATTAGGGAACCTAAATGTGGACCTTGCAGTGTTCACTGTCTGACCGATGTGCCCACGACAGACATTACTGATAAGCCCAGGATTTAGTCAGTGCAGGGCATGTTCCTTTAGAGACTGGACGTGTCTTTGGAGTACTCCGAGTAGATGACCGCAGGCAGCCACTCCCAGCTGATTGGCCGTCAGAGTAGACCCTCGGAGGCACCCTTCCCTCACCCTACTGTACTCAAGATGCCCAGGGCCTTGCAGGTTTGAGGCAAGCACCCTGCCACTGAGCTACACCCAGCGGCCGCCAACCTTTTAGATGGTGCCCAGCTGCCTCCACAGCTACAGGGGAGGTGACCAAAGACCTTGTAAGCCAAGAATTCAGGAGCCACCCCAAGGGCAGGCTATGTGGCTCAGCTGGGAGAATGCTTCTTGGCATGCGACAAAGCCTGGACTGGATTCCCAGCTCCACTCAAACCGGGCACACTGACATAGGCCAGTAAACCCCAGCTTGTGAAGGGTGGAGGCTCAGGAGTTCAAGGTCAGGGACCAGGAGAAAGCTCAGCAAGTAGAGGGAGGCACTTACCATCAAGCCCGACAACCTAAGTTCAATACCTGGGACCCCCAAGGCAAAAGGGAGAACCAGTCCTTAAAAGTCGTGTGGAGTCAGTACTCACTGAGGCAGGGTGCTTGTAAAAAATACTGCTGAAGCAGGGCATGGACCTTACAGACCTACTTCCACTTCTTACAACTGAGCCCACAGCAGACTCTACTGCTCTCAGAATGCTTTCCAGCTTCCCAACATGGGGCTTCCATTCTCCCTCAGGCTGCTGGACCCGTAATCTGAGGTTCAGCAGTGTGGACTCGAATCCCAGAAACTTTAGGTAGCAGATCCGAGAATGCACAGTTGGGCAGTGTGAGCTGCAACCAGTCCTGTGTGGTTGGCAGAGATCAGCAACTCCCTCACCCACCACTCTTAAAAAATTGTGTGTGTGTGTGTGTGTGAGTGTGTGTGTGAGTGTGTGTGAGTGTGTGTGTGAGTGTGTGTGTGAGTGTGTGTGTGTGAGTGTGTGTGTGTGTGTGTGTGCGCGTGCGTGTGAGTGTGTGTGTGTGTGAGTGTGATGGGCATGCACTGCTGCAGCAAATGTCTGTGAAGCGAAGAGAACAACTTTCTGGGTCTGTTCTTTCACCTTCCCACGAATGCCTAGGTTAAACTCTGGTCCTAAGACCTCGACACCTCCATCAAACAGGTTTTTTTTAAAGATTTGTTTATAGTGTGTGTGTGTGTGTGTGTGTGTGTGTGTGTGTGTGTGTGTGTGTGTGTATGTGTGTGTGCATGTGCACGGCTTGACTGTATGCATGTTTGTATGCATACCTGGAGCTTGGTGGGAGTCTAGAGGCCAGAAGAAGGCAGTGGATACACAGAAAGGAGAGCTCCAGTTGTGAGCTGTCTTGTGGAACCAAACTAACTGCTGAGCAGCCTCGCCAGCCCTTCAGCCTCCATCTTTATGCGGCACGATACGG